GGGTATAAAAAGGCCTACAACGAACTTTTAAAATGAAGCCAAAATTGTAGGGTGGATTTTTTGCTGACGAAGTAGCGGGCACTTGCTAGTATTTTTAGATATGAGGTTTCCAATTTAAGAATAAATTTCAGTATTGGTCCAATTTGTTTCTACATACTTTCAAATTTAAGTCAACAACGTCAAACATTACTCTCAGTGCCTAGGGACTGAATACTCTATCCCTTAGGACCATTTGAAAAAATTAAACAATAAAAACGTCCGTATTCTGTGTAATAAAAATTAGTACAAAATACCTCGTTTATTGTCCTAGAAATAAAAACAATGGCAACATTAAATATTTACCCTGTGCTAAGACCTGTGCCTTCAAATACAAGTAACGGTCGTTGAGGATAAAAACCATATAAATAACAAATGTCATAAACTGACAACAACAATAAAAACGATTAACAACTGGGTATTCAAATTAATTAATTAAGAACATTGATGACGATACCATCTTCGCCATAACTCATGACCATTAAAAATAAAAACAAAAAAAGAAAAAACAGGGAAAAACGGCTTTGGATCAACAGGACGACAACTTCTTTTAATGGTGTAAAACGCTTTAGTTTAACTTAACAACTTTCCCGTGTAATAGCCACCAATTTGGGTTAAATGTCATTTCTGCCGTTTGCGTTGCGCGTGTTTCTTCACGATTTACATAGGCCGGGTGATGTCTATGCCTGCTACCGTCTGATGTTCCTACTCACCTTCATGGTAGGGCTGGCTCCATTCGAATTTCACTCGCATCCGAGAAGACATTTGAGCAATACCCTTTTTGGCTATGGCAATACCTTGGTGCGCATAATCTTTTACATTTTGGTATTCGGCTATACTATGGGCCATGAACAATCCCTGCTCAGCCACTTTTTTGAAACCGAAGTGTCCCGCCTGACAGATAATCTGCAAAAATTCAATGGCATGTCTTGTATCCTGATGATACTGCTCTGCAGTTGGGTCCAAAGTAAATATTTAATGCGTTTGATGGAACAATTCGAATGGATCGAGTTGCGTTTATCTCGCCTGGGTGTGAAATTTTTGCAGAAGAATTGCTCCGCATGGATTAATTTGAGAATCCTTTTGACCCTCAGTGCGAATGTGGGATTTATTCTCTACGGTTCGGTGGGTGTGTTTTGGCGAAACGGTGTTGCAATATCACCGGTGACAACAGTGGCGTTTTATTCACCCCATTTGGTGGTCAGTACTGTGGTTGTGCTTTTCAGTTCGGTACTGAAGAAATTGAAGCCGTATTTGAGGGCCAACAATAAGGTAATTTATGGAGAACGAAGATTCCGGATTAAAAATTAAATTTTATAAACTATTGCACTGACGTATTCATAAAGGCGTTTCGAAACCAATAATTTGTATTTTTCAACGTTAAATTTGGAAAAAAAATATAATTTCGGGGGAGAAAAAGCTTGAGTCTTTCTGGTACTCCACACAAACTGATAAGATTTTGAAAACCCTGAAGCTATCAAAAAGTAAAAAACGAGGTACTGACTGATTCATTAACGCCCAGGCGAAACGGCTGGAGCTAGAATCTTGAAATTTTGCACGTGGGTCAATGTTGGTGGGCAGGGGTTAGATAAGTTTGGGTTTTCGGAAACTCCGACTAGAAGTGTATGAAAGGTACTAAATTTCGTACTTTTTGGTATTTTGTGAACGGATACAGCTAAAATCCTAAAATTTCGTATAAAAAATAAGTTTGAGAAGTAGAAGGTTTTGGTAATGCGTACTAAGTGTAACAACTGCACTAAATTGTACTTAATTGGGTACAGTTTTGTTTTTGTTGAACGGATTCATCTGGAAATTTAAAATGTTGGAATTGGGGTATTTGCTGGTGGGTAGGGTTATGATTAAGAATCGGGTTTGAAAATGTGTTCAGCAAGCGTACGAAAGGTACTAAATGGTACAATTTGAAAGTTGGTTTTGGAAATGGAAATGTGAATTTGACATTAGGGTTCATATGTAACTTAGACATTTGGAGGTGGTTTCAGAAATGTGTACCATAATTTTACAAAAGGTACTAGATGGTACTAAATTTGGTGTTGGGTGAAAGCATAGAGCTAAATGTCTGAAATTTAATTTTTAGCTTACTGTTGGTGTTTGAGCTTTGGCGGTGGTTTTGGAAATACGTACTAAAAAGTGCCACATGGTACTAAATTTAGTATTTGGGTAAGGGATTTAGTTGGAAGTCTAAAATTTGGCATTAGAATCACCTTTGGTGCGGTTTGGTTGATACATGGCAAGGAATTTGAAAATAAGTACTAAAAAGTACGAAAGGTACTAAATAGTAATAACTTTGGTGTTTGGGGAAGGAATAGAGCTGGAAATCTGAAATTGTGGTTGAGAGTCTTTAGAGTCCCATAGTGCGAAACTCTAGGATATACAAATTAAACGGTTTTTCGAAATTCTAACAATTTGTGTGCCAAATGTACTTAAATGCACTAAATTTGGTACCATTTGGAATTATGTGAACGGATGGTGGTAAATTTTTAAAATTTGATTTAAGAATCAATTCTTAGTAATGAGGGCGAATGTAAGGAGGTGGTTTTGGAAATATGTACTAAGAGTGTAAACTGTACTAAATGGTACTAAATTTGGTAAAATTCCGTTCTGGTGAACGGAAGAAGCTGGCAATTTGAAATGTGTGAACTGGGTTCCCTGTGAGAGTTAGACTTATGATAAAGAGGTGGATTTGGAAATGTGTACTACAAGTGCACGAAAAATGCTATATAGTACTTTATTGGGTATGTGTACTATTTCGGAAATGTGTACTATGATAGTGCGAAACGTACTGAATGCTACTATATTTGGCATATGGTGAAGGGATAGGCTGAAATCCTCAAAATTGGTCGCTCTCGGTATCTAGAATTGAGATATGGAGGTGGTTTTTAACTTGATACTATAATTGTACGAGAAGTACTCAATGGTACTAAAAGTACTAAATGGTACAAAGTTTGATATTGGGTGAAGGAATGGGACTGCAATTCTTATGGAAGTGATTTTGGAAATGTAAACTAAGAGGTACTAAATTGGGTATTGGATGAAGGGATGGAGCTGAAGTCCTGAAATTTGATATTGAGGTCTCTGTTGATATCTGTAATTGAGATATGGAGGTGGTTCTTGAAATATGTACTACAAGTGCCCTAAAAGTACAAAATAGGTGAACAGATAATATGGAAATATAAAATTTGATACTAAGATAGGTGTTCATATTAGCCTGGACATATGGAGATGATTTCGAAAATGAGTATTATAATTTTACGAAAAGTACTAAATAGTACTATATTTGGTATTGGGTGAAGGGATGGATATAAAACTCTAAAATTTAATATTTAGATGAGTGACGGTATCTATGTTTGAGATTGGCGGCGGTCTGTAAATGGACCTATATTTGTACGAAATGTTTTAAATGGTACTAAATTAGCTAGTAGTTGAATGGATAGTGCTGGAATCCCGAATATTGATATTGAAGTCTCTGTTGGTATCTGGAATTGAAATAGGGAGATGGTTTTGGAAATGTGTACTATAATTGTACGAAAAGTACTAAATAGTACTAAATTTGGTATTGGATGAAAGAACGGGACTGGAATTTTCAATTTTGATGTTGGTGCACGAAAAGTAGTAAATAGTACAAAATTTTGTATTTAGTGAAGGAATAGATCTGATATCATTAAATTTGATAGGGATGTCATTGTTGGTGTCTATGGTTAAGATAAGGAGCTGGTGTTGTGTATATATACTATAATTGTACTAAATGGTACTAAATTTGGTATTGCGTCAAGGGATAGGGCAGGAATACTCTAATTTGTTATTGAAGTCTCTGTTTTTGTATCAGGGGTTGAGATATGGAGGTGGTTTTAGAAATGTGCACTATAATTGTTCGAAAAGTACTAAGAGGCACTAAACTGGGTATTGAATGAAGGGATTGAACTGGAATCCCGAAATTTGATATTATGGTCTCTGTTGGTATCGCGAATTGAGATATGGAGGTGGTTCTTGAAATACAGGGTGAGATAAAAAAACTGCAACAAAGTCAAACGCCATAACAAGAAAAAAATGTCGAAAATCGCATCAAGTTTTTATGACTTTCAAACGAAATAGTCATACGCTGCCCGAATATTGCTCGGTGGTATTTTGGCCTATTCCCGGCGAAGCGCTTGCTTGAGGTGATCGACACTTTGGTATTTTTTAGTGCCAACGTTGCTTTCCAAAATACTCCAGACACAATAGTCCAACGGATTGGTATCCGGAGTTTTTTGCCATTGTGCGCTGGAAATGATGCGAGAAACCGAATTTTGTAACCATACTTGGGTGGCGCGGGCTGAGTGCGATGGTGCTGAGTACTGTTGGAACGTCCAAGGTCTGAGTCCAAAATGTTTGCGTGTCAAGGATTTAGTACACCCTCCAGAATATTTTCGCGATAATATTCCGCATTTATTCTGATGCCACGGTCGATTAATACGAGCTGAGAGGCGCTTGAGTTCCGTTGACCAACCGATTCGATCAAGTCGCTTCTTTACTTATCGAACCATTTCTGCCGATGTTGCTGTTTTCTTCCGTCCACTTCTATGACGTCGGGCTACGCTACCAGTATCACGGTAACGAGCGATGGTACGAGACACAAAAGACTGTCACTGGAAAATGACAGCAGTCTGAAGTTGGTTGCAATTTTTTTCATTTCACACTGTATATAGCGATATGCCAAGTTTGGACTAAATTGGTTACTTCCTTCAAGAGTTTTCATGCCATTAACAAATTAATCGACTCCAAATGCCACGAAACAAATTTCGTCCAAAGAGACATGAGTCAATCGCTCACTTATCTTTTACAATTTTATATAGAATATATTTATCCATCCAACACTAGAGTGGATCGACTATTATCAGATCAACAACCTTCTAAACAATCCTTCATTTAACATAGAAATTATTTTCCCTTCTTCTTCGCCTTTACAGGTTCTCAAAAATCTCAGCCATCAATGGGATACGCGCAACATCAAGGCCATAACACAGAAACAACGTTCGCTTCAGTGTCTCGACTCATTCTCCATGTATACGATTGTTTCGAAAAATCCCTCCGAAATTATACAAGAATCGATGGAAATTCATCAGCTGATTTGTGAGGCAGCATCGACAGCGAATAAATATTTCACCTATCAACTGTTGACCATCATTTCGATAGCCTTTCTGATTATTGTTTTCGATGCCTACTATGTCCTGGAAACCCTGTTGGGCAAGTCGAAGCGGGAGAGTAAATTTAAGACAGTCGAGTTTGTCACCTTTTTTTCGTGTCAAATGATTTTGTATTTGATTGCGATCATCTCGATTGTGGAGGGCAGTAATCGGGCTATTAAGAAGGTGAGCTTCAAAATTTAATTTTAATATTTTTAAAAACAATAATTTCGAATCTGTAGAGTAGCCAGAAGTTGTCGTTTACAATTTTGTTACAAATAAATTAAAAGTTCTTTTTATTCTTCCAGAGCGAAAAGACCGGTGGCATTGTCCATGCCCTGTTGAACAAGGCCAAGACCCCAGAAGTCAAAGAGAAGCTGCAACAATTTTCTATGCAGCTGCTTCATTTGAAAATCAATTTCACTGCAGCTGGTCTCTTCAACATAGATCGGACGTTATATTTTACGGTAAGACCGCATTTCCCTCTCAATTTCATTTATGGAGTTCAGAATAACATTTTGAATTTTATTTCAGATAAGTGGTGCCCTAACAACCTATCTCATCATTTTGCTTCAATTCACATCGAGCAGCCCTCCAGCCGTTCAGGCTGCCTGCGAAACTGCAAATTCAACGAATATTGCCAATCTAACGCAGCATTAGTGGAGGAGATTCTTAAGTGTGGAGCATCTAGTGGTTGTTTAATGAACTACAACCAATTTGGAATCTTTCATGTTTTTGAAAATGTCTCAAATATACATTCTCAAGTATACAATTTGAAAAATTTTTAATATGCAACCCATCCAAAACATTGAAGCCATAGTTCGATAATCAATCTGTAGATGAACTACCCCATATAAATATATCATTATTTTATATTTTATTTGTTAAATGTGATTTAAGCTATAATTATTAATAAATAAATATATACAACTGAATATTAACAATAACCTTATTAAGGTTGTGAAGTAAATTTAATCTACAGAAGAAGTCATGAAATGGTAAAAAATTGCCGAGTAGCAGGAATGTTAAAGCGGGTCAAGGGGACGGCTCAAAGGAAACTTTCCGAAATAGGGACTCTTGGGAATAATGTGTATTCTTTCTACCTGTTGGAAAGATTTCCCCTTTTAAATTTTTGCCTTTTAAGCAGAACACACAGAGATATTCAATTTTATATCAAACTAGCTGACCCAGACGGCGTCGCTGGCCCCTAGTTATACCCTCCAATCCCTACATATTCGTCATAGATGCCCGTGAAGATAAATTTTAAAATATAAATGCAAAGACACAAGTCACTTGTATTTTGTGTTGGTGCGCAAGGGGTTAATTGAAAAATAGTTTTTTTAATATTAATGATTTTTACCATTTTTTTGGATAAATCAACGTATTTTTAAATTAAATTAAATTAATTAATTAAATTAATTTAACAGGAAAATGACACAATTTCCCGACAAGGAGGAATAACCAGAGTGGTGTTGGCGGTAGGAAAACTGCATGGAAAATGCTGAATTGCACAAAAACTATGCTAGCATTGAGGCGGGTCTTAAATGAAAGGTCTCGAGGAGTACTTTCTGGCTATATATGCCTTATAATCCCAACTGATTTCAGATAATCGAATTTTTTCGATTTTCTAACCAAAGTGGGGGTTTCGGTAGGGAAACTGCATGGAAAATGCTGAATTGCACAAAAACTATGCTAGCTGCGTCATTGTATTCCCAACTGATTTCAGATAATCGAATTTTTTCGATGTTCTAACCAAAGTGGCGGTTTCGGTATACAATGCCTCAATGACGCAGCTAGCATAGTTTTTGTGCAATTCAGCATTTTCCATGCAGTTTCCCTACCGCCAACACCACTCTGGTTATTCGTCTTCGTCGGGAAATTGTGTCATTTTCCTGTTAAATTAATTTAATTAATTAATTTAATTTAATTTAAAAATACGTTGATTTATCCAAAAAAAAAATGGTAAAAATCATTAATATTAAAAAAAACTATTTTTCAATTAACCCCTTGCGCACCAACACAAAATACAAGTGACATGTGTCTTTGCATTTATATTTTAAAATTTACCTTCACGGACATTCGTCGTAGACCCCATGAAGTGAATATACTCATAATCGACATAAAATTTTAAGTCGATTTAACGATGTCCGGCTCTTTGTTTGTCCGTCTGTCTGTTGAAATCACAATATAGCCCACATTATGATGCAGAGCTTCAAAATTTGACAGAACAATTTGTATTTTGTCTAGGATGGTTGGTATTGAAAATGAGACATATCGGTCCACATTCTGGTATAGCTGCCATGTAACGGTACGATATTCGGTATTTAGATGATTTTTGCTACATTTTTTCAGGGATTTGTCTAAAAATTGGTATTTGTTGGTCATAATGGGTTGAAACTACGGTTGCGAAACATTGTATATATAGGTCCACGTTTTTGTATAGCCCCCATATAACGGTACCTCTCGACGTTCGGTATTATGATGATTTTTGCCACATTTTTTCACGGAATTGTCTAAAAATTGTTGTTTGATGGTCACAATGGTTTCTACCTCGTGTGACGAAACATTATATGTATAGGTCCACGTTTTGGTATAGCCCCATATCACAGTACCTCCCAATATTCGGTATTTTCATGACTTTTGTCAATTTTTTTTTTCACGGATTTGTCTAAAAATTGATATTTGTTGGTTATAATAGGTTCTAGCTCTAGTGCCGAAACATTGCATGTACCTCCCGATATTCGGTGTTTTTATGGTTTTTGCCACATTTTTTAATGGATTTGCCCAGAAATTGGTATTTGTAGTTCATAATAGGTTCTAGCTCGTTTGGCGAAACACTGTACGTATAGGTCCACGTTTTGGTACAGCCCCCATATAAGGGTACCACCGAATACCGAATTTTAATGATTTTTGCCACATTTTTTCATGGATTTGCCTAAAATTGGTATTTGTAGTGCATAATGGGTTCTAGCTCGTGTGGCGAAACATTGAATATTTAGTTCCACATTCACGCACATAATTGTTTCAAATTTGCTATTTTAAGAAGATTTGATAGGTGACAATCTTTGAAATTGTCTATATAGGTTCCCATTTTGGTATGGCCCCCATACAACGGCCTCACCCACTTTATGGTTTTTTGATAAGTTTAACTGCATTATCCAAACGGTCTTACTGGCATTTGTAGTTAAAAGTAGAACACGTTTGAATTCAGATATTTTTATAAAAAAAATGTTTTCTTTTCTTTCTGATTATGATGTTGCAATGATCTGGGGCTGAGATAGTTTGTACCCTATCTCAACCCCAGACCATGTCAAAATCATAATCAGTAATAAAATATTTTAAACTCTATTCATAATCTATTTCGACCATGTCATGGATATACAAAAAGCAACACTATCGTCTGTTTTGCTGCTGCGGTGTGACGAAAACTAAAGGAGATTTACTCCCACTCGAAAATGAGCTGTAGAAAATAAAGTATACTTAATACTGCGGTTCGAATTTGATCGAGTTTCGCTCTTTACTCGAATTTTAGCGATCTACTTATTTTTATCGATCTACTCTTTTTTAGAACTTTTCGGAATAAGCGACCATATTCAGGAGGCAAAACAGCAGATACTTAATTGTTATTGAATGGGTCAACTTTCTGGTATAGGTTTCGGGCCGTTTGGTGTTACTGTAATCCTCACTATCACATGCATTGTTGGTAGAGCTTGGCGATTATACTCTTGAACTTTTTTGTTTTGGTTTCATTTCCAACTAAAGCTTAAAAAATCTGCCCCATTTGAATCTTATTTTGATCCGACTCGAAAACGAGCGAAGCATTATAGCTTCTGAAAGATAGGGTATACAACTTTTTCCCTGATCTCTGGAAAACTAATGCTCGAATTTGAGAGTGAAACTCGCTCTCTGGTCTGACCATAGCTGACCACCACTTCCATTTCCGTATACTTTATGTATTTAAAATTTATTTAATATTACGTATACGACCGTTAGGCAATATCAAGATAACTTTGCCACAATGGAACTATAAGCTGATGACTTACTGACTTACAAAATAAATACAGTCAATTCCATTAAAAACCAATAAAGTCGAGTGGGGACCGACTTTATGATACCCTACACCACTTTACACATAACACAAAAGTTTTTAAAGGCAATTTGTGAGAACTAAATCATACCAAATTATGATTATAGTTATAACTTAAAGTCCAAAGGAACTTATATATGAGAAGAATATCCTCCACTGAATCGATTTCTACTAAATTTGCCGAAGCATTTGTGCCTTCTCAAATTGGGCCATTTGGGGCACAATTAACTTGAAATCGGATAAACATATATATGGGAGCTATCTCCAAATCTGAGCCGATCTCTATACAATTTGCATTTACGAGCTGTGTGTGATATATTTCCCCGAATATCGTTACTAGGGAGTGTATATTGCACAAATCGGATAAGAAAAATATATATGGAAGCTATAGCTATATCTGAACCGATTTTCACCAAATTTGATATAAATGTTTCTTGACTAAATTAAGTAAGTGCCAAATTCCATTCCATTGGGGTTAATATTACACGTTTGGTGCACAATAAAAGGTAAATCGGACGAAGTTTTATATGGGAGCTATATCCAAATCTGAACCGATCTCGATAAAATTTAGCAAAGGTATTTCTGAGTTGTATTTCATATATTTCCCTATCGTTGTTACCGTGTGCATATTACGGCTGCGGAGGACAAAAATAGCAAATCGGATGAACAATATATATGGGAGCTATAGCTATATATGGACCGATTTCAGTAAAATTTGTCATACTTATTTTCAGGCCTAATTTGGAAGTATGTGCAAAATTCCACACTATTTGGGCTGATATTACACGCTTGGTGCACAATTAAAGGCAAATCGGACGAAGATATATATGGAAGCTATATCTAAATTTTGACCGATTATCTCCAATTTCAATAGGGTTCGTCCTTGGGCCAAACAAATGATTTGTGCAAAATTTCATCTGGATAGGGAAATAAACTGTATTTTGTTTACAAAAATACATGGAAATACGGACGGACGGACGGATGGACATGCAAAAATCGACTCAGAATGTGATTCTATGCAGATCATCAAAAGGAACTATTGGTCTATCTCGTTTCCTTTTGCCTCTTACAAACAAATGCACAATGACATAATACCTTGATCACCTTGTGGTGTAGGGTATAAAAATAGAGTTAATTCCGTTAAATATTAATGTTCCAGTGTACCCTCGTTAAAACCAAAATTAAAGGAGGAAATGCTGTTTGTAGAACCTACCTTTAAAGAAAACTAATAATCCATCATTTCCATTTCTTGGGAAACTAGAGCCGGTGGGAAAAGATTGGAGTTGTCATTTGAAGTAGGGAGGCACCCAAACCTTTATTATAATTTCCTCACAAACAAGAGATAAACATCCGTTTTATCATTGGTAGGCAACACTACCCATCAAAAAAGAGTGTCGATTTTTATCTAAATATACCAAACCGAATAATCGAAAACTTTTCTAGTTCAAAATTTCTAGACTTCGTTTTAAAGGGGTCCAGTATCGTCTAAATTTATGTATTTTGTGGCATAGAATATTCTTCGACAAAACAAGGATCAAAGTTCAACCAAGATCTTAGATCTACGTACATCGAATTCAAATGCATTTCTGGACATCAAATAGGCATATCCCATTAAAAGGAGTCCTAAAGGGGACAAAGATGGGCGGTGTTACTTTTTTTGGCCTCCAAGACCGACAATTTGGGCAGCATTTAATAATAATTAAAAGGGAGTAAATTATCCATTTCTCATCCTTTTGACAAATAGTCTACACCATCCAATTTGTTATTTCTTCCCGATATTTTCAATCCAACTACTTAGAAAAAAATCTAAAATACTCATAAAAATTTCGAATTATAGTTTTTCAAGAATGTGTAAAACGTCACTTAACACTTTTTAATCATTTGGTATTTCAAGCGACTTGGTATTATTTTTTCAATTGGTTTTTCCTTTCCTTTCATTTCATTCCACCACATCCAATAAAAAGTCCATCGGTCACATGTTGACCTCTGTCTCGCTCTTAGCATTAAGTGTGTTAGTGTGTCTGCCATGGTATTTGTTTGATAGCGTAATTTAATAAACAATGCATTTAATGTGGCGGCATTCATTCTCAGAAGTATTTCATTTGTGGCAGAACAGTAACATAATACAATAGAAATATTTACCGCAGGAATGTTGTGATACCCATACTCATGCATTTGCACCACCACCACTACTACACACTCAACACACCTACATCGACACATCGACTTTTGTTGTTGGGAAAATTATGATTGTTTTTCTGTTTTTGCGTCTTCCTGGAAATTCTATTTGCCAGGGGTTAATGGAGGCAATTAAACGGCAGGCTATAAGTAGTTGTAGATTTTCTTGCAGACCAACAGTGTGGGAGGAAAAAATAGCAGAGGAAAAAAGTAACTCAATGGGGAAAACCTTGACCTTGTAGCCTTTCTGGCCTTCAGGAAGAAGACTTTCTGACCTCCTGGGAGAACACTTTCTGGCCTTCTGGGAGAAGACTTTCAAGCTTTCTGGAGAGGACTTTCTAGCCACCTAAAAGATAGAAGAAAATGTTCTAGCCTTCTGGGAGAAAACTTTTAGACTTTCTAGGAGCAAACTTTCTGACCTTCTGAAAGAAGACATTCTGGCCTTGTAGGAAAAGATTTTCAGGCCTTCTGTGAGAAGACGTCATGACCTTTTGGGAGAAGACCTTCAGGCCATCTGGGAGAAAGTTTTCTGGCCTTCTGTGAGAACACTTTCTGGCCTCCTGAGAGAACACTTTTTGGCCTTCTGGAGTAAAACTTTCTGACCTTCTGGAAGAAGATTTTTCCGGCCTTTTAGAAGAAGTTTTTCTGTCTTTCTAGGAGAACACTTTCTGGCTTCCTAGGAGAAGATTTTCTGGCCTATTGGGAAAAGACTTTCTGGCCTTCTGGGAGAAGGTTTTCTGGCCCTCTGTAAGAAGTCTTTCTGGCCTTCTGGAAGAAGGTTTTCTAGCCTTCTGGAGAAGGTTTTCTGGCCTTCTGTGAGAACACTTTTTGGCCTCCTGAGAGAACACTTTTTGGCCTTCTGGAGTAAAACTTTCTGACCTTCTGGAAGAAGATTTTCCGGCCTTTTGGAAGAAGTTTTTCTGGCTTTCTGGGAGAACACTTTCTGGCTTCCTAGGAGAGGATTTTCTAGCATTTTAGAGAAAGACTTTCTGGCCTTCTGGGAGAAGGTTTTCTGGCCCTCTTTAAGAAGACATTCTGGCCTTCTGGTAGAAGATTTTCTGGGCTTCTGAGAGAAGGTTTTCCGGCCTTTGAAGGAAAGACTTTCCGGTCTTCTGGAAAAAAGTCTTTCTGGCCTTCTAGGAGAGGCACTTAAAGTCTTTTGTGGGAAAACCTTCTGCTCTTCTATGAGAAGACCTGCTGCTCTTCGATGAGAAGACCTGCTGCTCTTCCATGAGAAGACCTTCGGCTCTTCTATGAGAAGACCTTCGGCTCTTCTGTGAGAAGACCTTCTGCTCTTCTATGAGAAGACCTTCGGCTTTTCCATGAGGAGACCTTCGGCTTTTCCATGAGGAGACCTTCGGCTCTTCTATGAGAAGACCTTCGGCTCTTCTATCAGAACCTTCGACTCTTCTATGAGAAGACCTTCGTCTCTTCTATGAAAAGACCTTCGGCTCTTCTATGAGAAGACCTTTGGCTCTTCTATTCTGGTCTTCAGTGGGAGACCTTCCGTTTTCTTTGAGAAGACCTTCATGTCTACTATGAGAAGATCTTGACGTGTTCTCCTATAAAAAGGACCTTCTGATCATTGAAAAGAGCTTCTTTTTCAACAAGGAGAGCTTCTAGTCTTCTATCAGAATATGTCTGGTCTTTTATTAGAAGACCTTCTGTCCTTCAGTGAGAAGTCCTTCTTGTCTTGTATGACAGAACCTTTTAGTCTTCTAGGAGAAACCCTTTGAGTGATCTTCTTCTTTCCATGTGCTATAAAAAGTATTCTGGTCTGCCATGAGAGGACCTTGCGATTTTCTATGAGAAGTTTTTTTTTTGGTTCTGTGTGCTAAAATATGAAACACTTCTTTACAAAATATCAATAAATATTTCAATTACTGTCTTACAAATTATAATCGTTCTTCTTTGTCATCTTAGAAAAAAACTCAGAAACTGATATCCAATTCCAAAATTATTTCTCCAAGTTTTTGTTGTTCATTTCGCTGTTGGCCAATTAAATAATTGGTCAAAATGTTGTCGTTTTATTCACTTACAATTCATCGGCAAAATTATTCGTGGGCTGAAGATAACAGGAACTAGCTAAGCAAATAATACATTGTAGCAAATACCGATATTAATAATAAATACGGAATTACTACGAGCCGCGTCCTTTCATTCACTGCTCCCAGCCACATGGGTGTGATGTTTGATGAGGAACGGGACACCTCCCCGTGGCCGTGTGTTGATGAAATAGCTATACCTCCCACTCCACAGAATACATTAACCGGTCACCAGCCATCTCCAGATATTACATTGTCGACTGACAGTGACATAGTGAACCATGCCGGGTCTTTGAAAGGATATCAACAATTAGTTAACAACAAGTGGCCTTTGGCAGCGGACGTGTCGTCTCGTTTTTCCAAGTATTTCCGTTCGAAGCTAATTAAAAAGTGGAAATAAAATGGGCATTAAAATCTGGGAACGTTTCACCAAAGCCGACAATATCTTCCAGTCGCTGAGACCCCTGACGTACATCTCAATAATTGGCTTGGCTCCATTTCACCTGAAGTCGCAGAATGAAGTTCGCACCTCGGCCCTGTCTTTTGTGGCCGGCATTGCCCATTTCCTTTTCTTCGTTTTGTGCTTTTTTATGTCGCGTCGGGAAAACGGTTCCATTATTGGATATTTCTTTCAAACGAATATCACGAAGCTCGGAGATGCAACGCTATCGCTTACGGGAGTTATTGCCATGTTTACGATTTTCGGTTTTGCTATTTTCAAACGGGATCGCTTGATTGGAATAATACAAAATAATTTGGTTGTCGATGAGATATTCGTACGGCTCGGTATGAAGCTGAATTATCGGAAAATATATTGGTACTCCTTTGCAATGTCCTTCGGAATGCTGCTATTCAATTTCATCTATTTGTGTGTGAGTTATATGTTGCTCCGTTCGGCTGAGATAACACCGTCGTTTGTGGTCTTCACCACGTTCGCCCTGCCACACATCAACATCAGCATAATGGTATTTAAGTTCATGTGCACCACCCACCTGGCGAAGAGTCGTTTCCACATGTTGAACGAGGTAAAGCGCAATTTAGGGTGAAAAATCGAGATATCTTATATTTAAACAAACAAAAGAGGGAGACACATAAGTTGACTGATTTAGGATAAGTTCTGCACCAATATAAAATATCCTGAATCGAAATTCTTCTAAAACGACCCAAGGTCATTCGATAAAGGCTGAGGGTATAAAATCGGGTAGCAAATGACCAGGGGAGAATATATACCTTAACAACTATGGATGCAGTGGAGGGCTATGCAGACACTTCGGATAGGCCTGTTAGTCTACAGAAGTGTTGGTCTGCAGAAAAAAAGGAATTTGTGGCTAGAGGCTCAGATTTGCAACACAGGACATTTCTCTCTGAATCAAAACACCACTCCTACCATGTCTTAGTAGATAAACGTATGAGAGGGGTATTTCCGGTGGTAGTACTCAAACACTTCTTTGGTCAAAAGAAGCCATTACTAGCACTGCCGACTAAAAAGGTGATATTTTGCTGTAATTTGTGATCAGAATGTTATAATCGGTATTTGAGTGTAGCTGCGGAATTAATGGAGGAAATTGACATATTCCTCAGAGAGAAATATGTGATTTTTTAGAAAAGTTAGGCGAGTAGGACTATCAGATTAATTCTGTACAAATTCCGTTGAACATTTTGAAGGTATATCTCCACCAGCCGAATTGTTATACGAGAAGTCTTTTTGGTCTTCTGTGAAAAGACCTCTTTTCTAGAGAAAACCTTCTGGTTTTCATTGAAAAGACCCTTCCGCCTTCAGTGAGAAGACTCTCGGATATTAAGAGAAGAGCTTCTGGTCATCTATGCAAACCACGGCCTCCCATGAGCAGACATTCTTGTCTTCCATGAGAAAAACTACAGATCTTCTAAAAGAGGACCTACGTATCTTTTATGAGAAAACCTACGTATCTTCAATGAGAGGACCTACGTATCTGCAATAGGAAGGCCTATCTTCTATGAGAAGACCTACCGATCTTCTATATCATTCTACGAGAAGACCTATTCTGCTCTTCTATGAGAAGACGTATTCTGCTCTTCTATGAGAAGACCTATTCTGCTCTTCTATGAGAAGACCTGCTCTGCTCTTTTATGAGAAGACCTGCTCTGCTCTTCTATGAGAAGACCTATTCTGCTCTTCTATGAGAAGACCTATTCTGCTCTTTTATGAGAAGACCTGTTCTACTCTTCTATGAGAAAACCTGTTCTACTCTTCTATGAGAAAACCAGTTCTGCTCTTCTATGAGAAGACCTATTCTGGTCTTCTATGAGAAGAACTGTTCTGCTCTTCTATGAGAAGACCTTCTGCTCTTCTATGAGAAGACCTTCTGCCCTTCTATGAGAAGACCTTCTGACCTTCTATGAGAAGACCTTCTGGCCTTCTATGAGAAGACCTTCTGGCCTTCAATGAGAAGATCTATTGCTCTTCAATGAAAAAACCTGTTGGTCTTCCATGACAAATCCTTCTGCTATTCTAAAAGACAATCGTAGGGTCTATTTAGGGAAGATCTTCTGTCCTTCTATGAGAAGATATTCTGTCCTTTTTTGAGAAGACTTCCTGTCGGAAAACCTTATGGTCTTCCATGAGAAAACTTTCTTGCCTTCTATGAAAAGTCCTTATGGGCCTTCTCGGTTGTTCCTTGATTATCTTCCGTTTTCCATGCTTTACAATTTCCAGTACACAAAATGCTTGCTTGCCTGTTATCCGAAAAATTCTTTGTGAATTCCTCGTTCAACCTTCTTCTTCATCGCCTTTGCGGAATAATCGTCTAGGTATTCTTAAAACTTTTCTTAACTACTAACTTCAGAACAGTTAACTGTTGCGTTCCCCGAAACTTCTTTTTGGTGGAGTCCTCCTTCAACTTGCTCCTCTTATGCTTTGAATATTATACATTGAATTTTTCGCCTATCTTCGAATCAAGGTGGTAAGAACCGTCAAATTTTGCGGGATAATGCAGCATGCTACTCTAATTCTCTGCCGCTTTTTCATCGCAATGTTTCACATTTTTTTGGTTTTTCTTTTAGTTTTTTTTTTTTACAGCGTTTTAGGTTTTTTTTCGCATCTTCTATTCTGTTGCTTGATTCTCCGTCGTCTTTCTGATACTTAATTTCATTGGCAGTTCTATTTTTTCAATTCTCGGTTATTTGATTAGAAACGTTTCGTTTCATCTTCGTTTCCTTTTTTAGTCGTCATAAGTGTTTTCCGTTATAGAAGTGAAGGCTCGAAAGACCAAATATGAAAATGATGAAAGTAAAGAAATATCTCCGAATCGCAGGACTAATTTTCCGGTGTAGTGTGACTTCTAAAAAAGGATTATTTTAAACGAAAGGCAATACCATGCCTTGTACAGTCTGTTTAGTAAAACATTCGTTAGGACACACATGTTCAAAGCGAAAGAATGAAGCGAACTACTACAACAGCTAATTTTGTAAGTGTTCTATGAAAAATATTGGGCGCCAAAAAGTATGCTTCGTTACTTTAAATTTATATCAGAGTTGGATGTGCTTATGCAAGTGCTCATGAATGAAATACATATTCCCTTTCTATTTCGTTGGGTAAACTTAGTAAAAGATTTAAAAAAAAAACTCTCTTTCTCCCTCTTTCCCTGAGACAACTCATTTGTCAAGATTTATATGAGTGCCTTTGTGAATATTCCTTTCCTTTTTTTGCAGATCCTTCAGGACATTTTAGATTCCCACATAGAAGACAGTCATGCAGTCGAATTGTCCCCCCTGCATTCGGTGGTGCGCATTAATCGCAGTGTTCCACGACGACGGCCGACCACCATATCCATGGCCTCCAATCAGCAACAGCCACAACGTTACAGCGTTGCATCGATTATACGGCAAAATCCCGAATTGGCTCTGCGGCAAGTTACCAACATTCACAACCTGCTCTGCGACATCTGCAACACCATTGAGGAATATTTCACATATCCCCTGCTGGCCATCATCGCCATTTCCTTTTTATTTATACTCTTTGATGACTTCTATATACTGGAAGTGAAACTCAATCCGAATTGCGTTGAAGGATTCGAGGCGGATGAATTCTTTGCCTTTTTTATAACGCAAATGTTTTGGTATGTCATCATTATTGTTCTGATTGTGGAGGGTAGCAGCCGGACGATAAAGGAGAGTGGAAAATGTGCTGCCATTGTCCACAAGATATTGAATATAACCGATGATGGAGATATCAGGGATCGTCTTTTGCGTTTGTCGTTGCAGCTACAACATAGACGGGTTAGATTTACGGCGGCTGAATTGTTTAACTTGGATCGAACACTGATATTTACGGTAAGTTGAATTTTGGGGGGAATGTGAGGTATGTGCAGGTACAAGGGAAATGTAATACGATTGGTAGCAAATTCCAAACTACTGTAATTGGTATGATTTGTTATACATTTACTGAACTATCAGCTGATTGGGAATACAGCTGGTTTAGACAACAGCTGATTTCGCAAGAAAACAACTGTTTAAAATATCAGCTGATTGTAGAGGTCAGCTGTTTGACAAATATCGCATGAATTCGCTGAAATTTGCTGGATTTTTCGAAATAATATTAGGGGGTGTACGATAACATTTTCAATAAAAATTGCTGAAAGAAGTCACTCTACTTACAAATATTGCAAAAAGTTTTCGAACGACATTCAGTAAAATCTAACATGAAAACAACTAAATCGAATAAAAAATGGTTATATGATGATACAACACAATGTTAATTGCTTTTTATCTGATAATTAAATAAAATTTTCAATTCATTGCCTAAAATTTTAAAACATTTTCGCAATGACCACGGAACAGCTAGCTTTAAATCTAGATAATTTTTAGAGAAAATTTTCCTAGTAAGAATTTTTCAAACCCTCAGTAACTTAACTGTCAAAATCAACCTATTTATTAATCCAATTTATTGGACTATTAAGTTATAGAACTATTTGTAATAATTTGTACAATTATCAGGGTATCATAAACACCAATTATCGAAAAAGTAATGCTCAATTATCAGCTGATTGGCAGACGAACTTGTTAAGGAAACAGCTGTTGATGACATCAGCTGATTGAGAAATCAGCTGATCAGAAATATCAGCTGTTTTACAAATTTGCAATTTCCTGAATTTATTCGAAAAAAAAATAACCAGCAAATCACGAAATCTCTAGTATTACATAATTTCGAATACTTGCACAGATCAACATACATTACCATAATTAATATTTCTATAAGAATATCTTAATAAATTTATTTTTAATTTCAGATGACTGGAGCGGCCACATGCTATTTAATTATATTGGTCCAGTTCCGCACCACGCATCACACAGATCCCAATGCCAATGCAACAAATTGTGCATCCTAAAGCCAGTAATTGTTGTTAACGTGTGCCAAAACGTTCGTATTAAATTTTAACAAAATCTTGTTGTAATAATAAAAAAATAATAATAATTTGAGCGAATAAATAATGTGCCTTCCATAGTTCACACGGGTTCATCAAATGCAAATTTGGTTTTATTTAAAACTTATGGACCTACACATGAAAGAGCTCTGCTGATATACGGAAAGATATACAGGGTGTGATAAAAAATCTGCAACAAAGTCAAACGCCATTATTTTTAAAAATGTTTTAAAATTTATTGAATAAAAGCAAAAAATGTCAAAAATAGAATCAAATTTTAGAATAAGTTTAGTTTTGTTCGGATTGGTCACCTATGGCACGAATTATGGCCTTCAAACGGCCAATGAAACCGTCACACGCTGCCCGAATGTTGCTATGCGGTATTTCGGTCTATTTCCGGGGAAGCACTTGCTTGAGGTGATCGACACTTTGATATTTTTTAGTGCCAACCTTGCTTTCCAAAATACTCCAGACACAATAGTCCAACGTATTGGTATCCGGAGATTTTGGTGGCCATTGTGCGCTAGAAATTAAGCGAGGAACCTCATTTTGAAACCATTCTTTCAACTATTCATTTTGAGTGCGGTGGTGCTGAGTCCTGTTGGAATGTCCAAGGTCTGCGGAATATTGTTGCGGTAATATTCGGATTTTATTCTGATTAATACGAGCGAAGAGCGACCATCGGCTGTTATGGTGGCCCACACCATCACCATGGCCGGCGCTTGAGTTCTGGTGCACATTTTCAGCTGACCTCTTTGGCAAGTAAACATGATCATTTTGTTTGTTTACAAACTGCTGGACAACGAATGTGTTCTCACCGGAGACGGTGAAAACCAAATTCGGCAGTTCACCACATGTGGCCAAACGGAGCAACTCTTTAGCTCTTTTGAGCCTATCGTTGCGGTGTAAGTTCTTGCACTTTTTCGGATTTCAATTGCTTTACCCCGAGTTCATTTTTCAATATTTTCCGAATGGAATATTGCGATATGTTCAGCTCACGAGGCATTTTTCGGCCACTGCGACGCGTTTTTCGATCAAGTCGCTTCTTTTCTTTTCGAACCATTTCTGCTGATGTTGCTGTTTTCTTTCGTCCACTTCCTTGACTTCGGGCTATGCTACCAGTATCACGGTAACGAGCGATGGCACGAGACACAAACGATTTATTCACATCTAAATGCTGAAGTGTGGCTTAGAAATGACAGCATTCTGAATTTGGTTGCAGTTTTTTCATCTCAGTCTCTATATCTAATCCTATGACTTTTATGGGATTAAATGTTTTTGAAATCAGGACGAATTAAATCTATATTTCGCAAGTTTGATATGTTTGAGAAATCGTGGACAAAAGTGCGCATTTTATCGGAGATGTAATTGGTCAAATATGCTGAAAATCAGAAAAAAATATCTATCACTCGGAAATCAAACAAATGTTGATCGAACTCTGAACTCAAAGTCGCGTTTTTAACAACTTCGACTTTACTCGGAAAAAAATCTTATTTATTTCATGGGAAATAAAACTTTTAGCATTATATCTATCCCCATTGATTTGAAAAAAGGAATATCAATTTAGTCGTGGAGACTTAACTCTTTACTCCAATTACTCATTCTGGATGACATATTCGAACAACGGAGGGAAAAGAAAGAAAGTCATTTAGAGAGCTCCGAAAATGTGTATGAACTATCAATCAAGGTTACAAGATATTCAACACAGCCCAAAGAAATGTTGGTAGTTTTTCCAGCATTTGTGAAAGGGCAAACCATTCAGAGACAAAAGTGGATATTTATTTATTTTTATACAAAGTCTTATTTCTTATTTTTAGGAATAATTTTAGAAATTCTATACCGTCATCTTTGATTTATAGAAGGCTTTTAATATACTAGATCATGAAATCTTGCTGCAAAAGCTTCAATTTTATGGAAATGTAAACAAACTAATAGAGAGTTATTTGCAAAACAGGAAGTTATTTTCAAATGAATAATTGTTGTCCCACTACAACAATTCAGTAAGGAATTTCGGAAGATAGTGCCTTGAAACTCTTATTGTTCATAATTTATTTTAATGATATCGTAAATAAAATACTTAAATGTTCACTAATAGTATATGCTTACGGTAGGAGCCTTTTTATCCTTATTCTCAAGATGTCATTTTAAAATGTCAGATTGACATATCTTCCTGTATTCTTCTATCATGGTACAAAGCATTGCCTCTTTTTTGACCAACTCATTCAATAGTGTATACCCTACATTTAACATTTTCCAATTGACAATTCTATCTGGCAATGCCATCAGCTGTACTCTAAACAAATTTAAAAACTAGTTCAACAAAAGACCTCTAGGCAGACAGTTCCTTTCATTGAATAATTACCTTGAACTAGTTCGCTTCGAAACGACCCAGCTGTGATGGAAACAAAAAACAAAAGGTTGGTCGCCGGTCCGTGTATTTGTTGTTGCATTTCTGTCTGAAAAATAAATAAATATTACGAAAATAAACATTTTCTATTTTTAAAACAGACCATGGCGCAAATTGGTTAAGAAACTGCAACGAAAGCGGAGGCGACAAAAACTGGCAAAAGAAAGAGATCTCAAAATTGGACAAGGTAAGGAAAAAACGAAGGATATCATCGTCGTCATGGGTGTTGACTGTCCAACAGGATACTAAAAGAATATAACAGGTAATATTAGAATATCTCACAAGGTGAATATGTTGATCGAGTGCGGGACTTAAATTTAAATGTTATAAAAACGTGCAAATATACAAAAAACCAAACATTTTCATCTAAAAGGCAACAGTACTTTCAAATAATTTTACATATATTGAAATAAAATCTGCATTATCCTTAAAGGAAACATGTGTGCATAATGTGTTGTGTCTGTGTCCTTACAAAAATAAAAATTGACCTAAAACACATGTTTGTTCTAATAGAGCGGAGAGTATTAAATAAAGCAACGTCCGTCGGGAACTCAAGTGCTTAGTGCTAGGAGAAGCTGAAAAATATTTTGTGTTAGAAATAAATGTTAAACTAAACTAGCATGGCTTTTTTCATGACATCATAAACAAAGGAAGAAATACAGGACAACACCTATATACGAATCGGATTGCAAAGTGAGTAAAATAACGAAACATATGAATAAAAAGTTCAAAAACAATGCAATCGGTTGCTATTCAAAATCGGTCACTTTAAAAAAGAAACAAGAAACGTTGACCTTGAGAAGTCTTACCGCATTTGTGCATCTCTTTTGAAATTCCGGTAAATATCATCTTTATGAACCACTCCGGAATAAAATTTTTCATATGCAAACCAGAGCAGGTACGCAAGAGCTCCTTGCTTTCACTTAGGCGAAATCCACCATCTAATATAAATACTTTTTAACTAATAAAGAAGAAGCCTTGCCTTATGTCTCTCTGTTCAGAGTTAACATTAGTTCCTATTAACTATATTTGTTCAAGATAAAATAAAACCATGTAGCCATGAGCTATGGACAAGTCATATAGTAAGCACATATGAATACCAATATTGTTTTCAAAATACGTAAATAGATTTCAAAATTAACAAGTGAAAAAGCATTAAGTTCGGCAGGATCGAACGTTTAATACTCCCCACATTTGGGTAAAAGACATTTTTATAGAAAGGTGTCTGAATCCACTTTAAAAAATAAATATCAGTACGACCGTTTGTATAATGCTGTTGAATTTTTCAAAAAACCATAAAATGTGTGAGGCCGTTGTATGGAGGCTATACCAAAACGGGAACCTCCATAGACAATTTTATACTTCAAGGATTGTAATCTACCAAATCTTCCTAAATACCATATTTGTGCAATTTCTTGGGTAAATGTGACTAGGATTATCAAAATACCAAGTATCGGTGAGTATCGTTACATGTGCGCTGTAGGAAAACGTGGATCTAGAACCCATTATGAACTGCAAATATCAATATTTAGAAAAATCAATGGAAAATGTCGCAAAAATCATCAAAACACCGACTATGGGGAGGTACCGTCATATGGGAGCTATACCAAAACGTGGACCTATTTATACCCTGTTCCGTCACCGGAGCTAGAACCCATTTCGAATTACAAATACCAATTTTTAGACAAATCCGTGGAAAAATTTGACAAAAATCGCCAAACAACCGAATATTGGGAGGTACGGTTATATGGCGGCTATACAAAAACGTGGGCCTATACATACAATGTTTCGCCACCGGAGCTAGAACTCATTATGAACAACAAATACCAATTTTTAGAATTCGATCGGTAAATGTGGCACAAATCATCAAAATACCGAATATCGAGAGGTAGTGTTATATGGCGGCTATTCCAAAACTATTTCTAATTCTCAATACCAACCATCCTAATCTCAATACCAACCATCCCAACCATCCTCTATGTCAAATCATGTGACTGTATCGAGATTTCAACAGACATTCTATATGAGGTCTACGACGAATATTTAGGGATGTTACAAACGGAATGACAAAGTTAATATGCCCTCCTTTTCAATGTGGAGGGCATAAATATGTGTTACCCGGCCAAAATATTTCTCATGGAAATGACAGTTTTGAATCCACATGTTTCTTTGGACGTTTCAAAGTATTCACGTCCATATATTTCCGTCTAATTGCTTGACTGAAAAGCACTTTAATTCTTGAAGGGAGTATATTTTTCTAAAACTTAGATCGAGATCGTAAATGCACCATATCGGATTTCTCCTTCTGGTACAGCTTTCACTGACCAATTTTTCTGTCATCAATAGATGGATATATGCCCTAATCGGATGAACTAAAAATCTCTTTAAATTTGGTAGTCCCGTTATATGGCAGCTATGTTTATACTAAATATTTTAAGCCTTTAATTATTATGGACTCCTTTTCATCATTATTTATTATTTCAGGGCTGATTTGATTGAAAATAGGATTCAGAATTTCAAAATATTGAAAATCTTGAGGTGCAGTTCTATGGGCTTTACTAAAAATGGAATCCATTTTAAATATTTTTGGCGAGAAGTTAAACTATACACTGAGAGCCTGAAATGCCCGATTACAGCTCATTTGGGTGGAGAGTAAGGAACAAATACTCAAAATATCCAGACGTAGCTATCGAAATCAATAATTTATGGGGTCTCCGACGACTATTTCGAGGTTGTGTAAAGAAAATGGTAAATTGAATATACCCTCTTTTTTATGTAGGAGGAATATCTCATAGAAATCAAAAGGAGTGCATTTTCGGGTCAGTTGAGAAAATGACCAAAGTTAGCGCAACATAAATGAGAAATTAGTGACAGATTTTCTGCCAACTTCGTGCATTTCAGCATTTCAAGAAACTTCATGAAATGACAAATTAGCGCCCAAAATCTAAAAACGTCATATACCCAAGGGATAGACAATTTTCTGTCACAGCCTATAGCATCCATTACGAACGTCAAATACGACATCTTAAACAATTTCGGTGGGTATTGTACCTAAACTCATCAAAATACCGAATATAGGGAGGTACTGATATATGGGGCCTATACCAAGAACTGGACCTGCACAGACAATTTTCTGTCATAGGCTGCAGTATCCTTTACGAATCTTTTTGTACTTCTTTCCTTTAATGAAAAGCTGAGCATATAGCGTGGTGTAAGCACGATGACTCACAGGAATGCAATTCATTGTCCAATATAAAATTACAGCAGGAAATTAATATGAGGACATACATACCTTCACATTTGTTCGCTTAATTGGTCTCCATAATGCTCTTCACATAACTCCAATCAGAATTTCACATTGGTAGAAGATGTAACCCCCCTTTCACTCTTTTAACTTTTTGTTGATTGCCTTTTTCCACACACTTATTCATTTGAAATTGACTAAATTAACAAAATACACATTTCTTTCTTTTTATCACATTTTTCCCGCGAAAAACCGAAGTCGAACTTAGCTTTTTGCAAAAAGAAACAAGTCTTGACTTAACCGTAAAAGTTACCACTGAATGGCAACAACAACATTAACGCACACAAACATATACACACACGCAAGGTAATAGGCAAATGGACCACGGACAACAAGCAAGCAAATACGAATATTTTTCACAAATTCACTTCTTCTGATAGATAATTTCTTTTCATTATTACACATTTTTGATGAATTTACACTTTTTCCACATTTTTACTGCAAATATTTCCGCCAATTTTAACATTTGCCACAAACGAACACAATTTGCAACCGATAGCTTTTTCAAATGTTTGACAATTAAAGGAAAGAGAAAATAGTGTTGCCAATGATAGTTACAAAATAATCAGCTGCAATAGTTGGTTGTAGAAAAACGTTAAATCATTAGATTTACATTTCTGGAGACAATTTCATCATATAAATAATTTAAATTAATCAAAAATCATATTTTTATGCAAGTCTTCAATTTGTTATGGCCTTTCCATCATTATTTCTTTGTTTTGCTATACTCTATAAAATTAATAAAGTGTGTTATTACCATATAGAGTATTGACAACATTGTTTTTCGTTATTTCTTTTTCCGTCAGTTGTCAAACACTGAAAAGGCAGTCAGTTGCCAATTGTATTCCTTAACATCAACGTCTTGCTTAATAATATTAAATTATCATTTAAAAATGTGAAAAAGTGCAAAATCTAATAAACATATTCAATTAAAACATAATGAATATTAAGTAAGAGTGTTTTGATAAAAATTTCTGAGAAAAAATGTAGTGAGAATGCAGTATTTGTTCCTGAGTTCTCAATCGAAGGCGAGAGAATTTGCTGTTGTCTTTGTGTTGCATGTTTTTGGCGGGAAATGCCCATTGCAAAGTATGGCTGTAAGTTTTGTGTCAAGAACAATGTTTCGGGAAGAAATGTTTGTGAAATGGATTAACCTACTGTTTTCCTGAAATACTTATGATGTTTTTCTTATTGGACATTATCAGAGAAGAGGAAGAAGCAAAGGCAGTAGGTAAATATGCCCAGTAAACAATTGTAATCATGAAAAAACTACGTCTGTTCTTATAGAGTGGATATGAAGTTGGCAAAAATATTAAAAACTTGAGTTCCATACGGACTACTTTCTATTGTGAGTTAGATCTTTGGGATAAACAAGCAAGAAAGGAGACAAGTTCACCCTAAATGATCAGTTTACGCCTTCCAAAATGAGGAAAAGGTAAAAGGCATTCAATAAAATTAGAATAGTCCGCAACTTTTCTAAAAGTTATTTTCCAGCCGCTCAAAGGCAAACATTTTCTAAAAAGGATTATCCTATTGTTTCCCCCAAGTTCTTATGATATTTTTTAAATAAGACATTTCCAGAGAAGAGGCAGCAGCAAAGGCCGTAAGTAAATAAGCCTATTTATTAAGCAATTCTAAAGTTAATATAAATTTTGGAAAAAGATTAATATCCATAGGGACAACTTTCTGTTGTGAGTTAGATCTTTGTGACAAACAAACAAGAAAGGAGAAAAGTTCTCCCAAAACGATGAGTTTACGCCTCCAACATGGGGAAAAGATAAAGGACGGAATCAGAATTCAATAAAATTATGATTAGTCGGCAATGTTTCTAAGGGAAACATTTTCAAAGATCGGTTATCCAATTGTTTCCCCGAAGTTCTTATGATATTTTTCATATTAGACATTATCAGAGAAGAGGCAGAAGCAAAGGCAGCAGGTAAATATGCCTAGTTATTAATCAACCCTAATGATGAAAGAACTACATTTGTTCCTACAGATTAGATAGTAACTCTGCAAAAAAGTTAACACTTCTTGAATAAATTCTGCTGCCACAAGTTCACTTGAAACGAACAGTTTCCGCTTCAGAAAAATTAAGACGAAGGATAAACTCATCTTTTGAAAAATAAACCAAATCAGAATCATTGACTACACCAAAAAGCTGGAGGTCTTTCGATAGAGTCATGTGAGACACTTCCGTGAAAAATAAGTCTATGAATTTTTCTTCGGCAAATATTATATCTACTGAGAACCCTTGATTTCGTTTTATACCAAAAATGGAGAGGTACTGGTCAACAAAGTTTGAATTCCCTTTTCTTAGTTCGTATGAACTCTGGCATGATCAAGAGATAAGTCCGTCGGTATATGACGAACTTTCAAAAGGATTTTGTACTTTGTAGTAGCCGACAGGAGCTAAGCTTGAATATAACTTACCAAAGCCATTGGTAATAGTCGATCGAAAGATTTCCAAACACACGCAGCATACTTTTAGGCACCAAAGATGCTGGGAAAATGTAAATAGTTGTAAATACCATTTAAGTTGGTTTTATCAAAGAAACTGAAATTATAATATCGGAATATGACTCTGAAGAAATAATTTAGATAAAGGACAAGAAAATTGTCTTATGCTCCAGTTAAAAAACAGCCAATGTATTTCTATAGTGAATTCTTTTTAGGCTGAAAAACCGCTTGCTGCGGATTATTTTTTAAAATATTGCCATGAAAATGCTTTGAGACATCGCAATGTGTTACTCTGATGAGGTGGTCATCTCCTTTCTCAAAAACTGAGATCTACGAGTTCTGCGTATTTCGACAGCTTTTTATCAAGGATAAAATTAATTTTTTTATTTATAAATTTTGTTATTCAAGTAATATATTTCTTTACTCTTTCAGAAGAGCAAGAAAAACTCAGAGATCCCGCCTATCAACAGTGGTTGCAATACCAAGAAAAAATGGAAGAAATGAAGCGACAAGCCGAAGAAAAGGAACACAAAGAAATTGAGGCAATGTGGCTGAAACGGGAAGAACTTGCCCAAAAACAATTTCAAAAGGAGGAAGAACAACGCTTGGCACGGGAAAAAGCCCTCGAACAAATACGAGAATTTCAATATAAAAGACTCAGAGAAAAAGAAGAAATTGAAAGAAAGAAACGGGAAGAAGCGGAAAAGAAAGCAGAGGAGGCAACAAAATATGTGGCTGAAATTGCTTATCTATGTCATGAGTACCTGGAAAATCCTGAAATGAAAACCCCCGAGCAACTAAATGTTTTATCTGAATCTCGTCCGGGTGCATTAGGATGTGAATTTTATAAGAAAACACAATGCTGTCGTTATGAACCCAGATGTGGTCTTAATCACAGCCGTCCCTTGTTATCACATGTTATTCTTATAAGGAATTTCTTTCAACATGCCTTGTTCGAAAAGAGACAACATAAGGGATCCGATAGGCAGTTGGAGTTCAGTGAAGAGGATTTGAAAAAGGACTATGAGGAGTTTTGTAATGACGTGTGGCCTGAACTGGAACATTTTGGTAAAATCGTCAATTTTCGCACAACAAGAAATGCTCATCCAAGAGGTGGTCATGTTTTTGTGGAATATGCTGAAAAAAGGTAGTATTTTTTAAAAAGTAATTTTAAATTGTTTAAATATGCAATTTTTTCTTTTTAGATCTGCCCTGAAGGCCTTTACAAATCTGCAAAATCGTTTTTATGCTGGCAGACAATTGAGTGTGGAATTTAGCCATGTAACATATTGGCGTGGTGCTCTTTGTGGTATGCTCTAAAAGTATCCTTTTTTAAATGAAAAACGGAAAATAGGGTGCATGTAAATTGCTTTAGCTTGCTACCATTGTCTTCTTTCACAAATGTAATTCCTTAACTCATTTTGTTTAAAGGTTTGGCATTGGGACGTAAATGCAACAAGGGCGATAAATGCAATTTCCTACATATCCTTGCAAATCCAGGAAATAAATACAATACCAAACTGGAGAAAATAGGAAAACCAAAACCGCAAAACCCTGTGCCAAAGGGGTATGTCTTAAATTTAATTTCTTTACGTAAAGCTAAATAAACTTTATATTTGTTTCAGTGACAATTTTGAAAATGAGCCGGCCTCAAGCTCAAGACGTAATTGGCGTTGGTCTGAAAGTCCCGAAATGGAGCTAAGGCCCAAAGAGCCGGAAAAGCCGACAGCTCCTGAAAATAATAAAACCAAGAGTCCCATTGTTATTATCTCATCATCATCTGAAGACGAAGAAGAAAAAGTCAAAATAAAAATAGAATCTAAGCCACAATCTTCTGCAACAAATCATAAAACTAAGAGTGACATTAAACCTAAGCAAGAATCTGCTAAACATAGTTCTAAACGCCATAGGCAAGAATCGTCAAGTAAACGAAAAAGTTCTCAAAGTACCTCCGACATGATTATGATTTCGTCAACAAGTGACGATGATTCTGATATCATTTTAATACAAACTCCCCAGCGAAAGTCGGGGGATGGAGACAAATCGCCATATAAACATAAATATCACAAGAGAAAATCTTCTCATGAATCATCCAGTCGTTCTAATTCTGGTCGCAGCCGTTCTAGCTCTGCTCATAGAACTTGATGTGTGTGTTTTCGTTCGGATTGAATTTACAAATGTTAAGATTACACCTAATTGAGTGCCATATTATAATGTAAGTATTTTTAAGTAGATTTTGCGATTAAAATACTTAACTATACAGTATTTGAAATACAAACAAAAGATTGAATATATTTTGTAATAAAATATGTATTTGAAAAAAAGAATGGAAAATTACAAATTGTTATTTTGTAATTTTGGATAATTACAAAATTTGTTCACAAAAATAAAAGAAAAAAATGAAAATTATAAAGGACCGAGATAGTGGTGTTATTTTATCCAACAAGGCGAACAATTCTACACATCGTTGGCAGCAACATCTAATATTTTGAATCATTTTGTCCAACAACGTGGATTTTATTTCATGAAAGTGACTAGACTTATCCATGAACGTGTATAATTTTATCCACGATCGTTGATAATTGAAACCAACACCTGGGATAATTTAAGCCATGACCGTGGATAATTTTATCTATAAACGTGGATAATTTCAACCATAAACCTGGATAATTTTATCCATAAACGTGGGTAATTTTATCCATAAACGTGGATAATTTTATCCATAAACCTGGATAATTTTATCCGTAAAGGTGGATAATTTTATCCATAAACGTGGATAATTTTATTCATAAACGTGGATAATTTTATCCATAAACTTGGATAATTTTATCCATAAACGTGGATAATTTTATCCATAAACGTGGATAATTTTATCCATAAGCGTGAATAATTTTATCCGTAAACGTGGATAATTTTATCCATAAACGTGGATAATTTTATACATAAACGTGGATAATTTTATCCATAAACGTTGATAATTTTATCCATAAGCGTGAATAATTTTATCCGTAAACGTGGATAATTTTATCCATAAACGTGGATAATTTTATCCATAAACGTGGATAATTTTATCCATAAACGTGGATAATTTTATCCATAAACGTTGATAATTTTATCCATAAGCGTGAATAATTTTATCCGTAAACGTGGATAATTTTATCCATAAACGTGGATAATTTTATCCATAAACGTGGATAATTTTATCCATAAACGTTGATAATTTTATCCATAAACGTGGATAATTTTATCCATAATTTTATCCATAAACGTGGATAATTTTATCCATAAATGTGGATAATTTTATCCATAAACGTGGATAATTTTATCCATTAGCGTGGATAATTTTATCCATAAACGTGGATAATTTTATCCATAAACGTGGATAATTTTATCCATAAACATGGATAATTTTATCCATAAACGTGGATAATTTTATCCATAAACTTTGATAATTTTATCCATAAACGTGGATAATTTTATCTATAAACGTGGATAAATTTTTTTCCATAAACGTGGATAATTTTTTTTCCATAAACGTGGATAATTTTATCCATAAACGTGGATAAATTTATTTCATAAACGTGGATAATTTTATCCATAAACGTGGATAATTTTTTTCCATAAACGTGGATAGTTTTATCTATAAACGTGGATAATTTTATCCATAAACGTGGGACATTTTATCCATAAACGTGGGTAATTTTATCCAGAAAACGTGGGTAATTTTATCCATAAACGTGGATAATTTTATCCATAAACGTAGATAATTTTATCCATAAACGTGGATAATTTTATCCATAAACGTAGATAATTTTATCCATAAACGTGGGTAATTTTATCCAAAAAAACGTGGGTAATTTTATCCAGAAAACGTGGGTAATTGTATCCATAAACGTGGATAATTTTATCCATAAACGTGGATAAATTTTTTCCATAAACGTGGATAGTTTTATCCTTAAACGTGGATAATTTTTTTCCATAAACGTGGAGTTTTATCCATAAACGTGGATAATTTTATCCATAAACGTGGATAATTTTATCCATAAACATGGATAATTTTATCCATAAACGTTGATAATTTTATCCATAAACGTCGTGGAGGTACCACCACAGTTTACGATGGGTGATGTTGCAATTCTCATCCGAAACGCAAACGGGCTCTCTGTATACGCCGGAAGTTGAGTGCCTGATTAAAATTCTCAGACTGTCGCTAGCCACCCACATCGTTCGCGAAGCTTGGAACATGAGCCGGACGGTCCCGCTACTAAAACCAAGCAAGGATGCCAGCAATGGCGAATCAGGCAATGCCAATTTGGCTTTTGTCACCAGTAGCAAAGACTCTTGAGGCCTTACTCCTCCCAGCAACAGCCGAGGCGGTACCATGGAACAATAGTGGTGGCCCCCGACTTATCAAAGGCATTTGATACTGTCGGCACTTCGGCACTGTTTAACCTCTGCCTTTTCGGAATTTCTCAACCTCTAGACGGCATAGAGGTCGTTACGTTTACGGATGTTTGTACGATCATAGTGTACCGGGCCCCGGTGTTGATGACGTATGTGTAAGGTTGAACACCTGTCTCGCGGAGCTTACCACCACTCCAAGCGAAGAATATGAAAATATTTACCACTATATAAACGGCCACACTCTTTACCACATGGTCTGCGGAGATGAGAACAGAGCTTAATGTGCAGGTCAAGGGAAATTGAATTCTGTACACAAACAACCCCAAATTCTAGGGATCACATTCCAAAGCTTGTTCAAGTCGTACATGCAAGCCACAGCTATCTGTGGCAAAATGAAATGTAGGAACAAGGTTCTCAAGGCACTATCTGGCAGCACTTGAGGTGTGGACAAGGAGACCTTAGCTGTCCAGAAAAACCAAGGTAGTTGTGGCTCAACCACGTTCAGCATTCCGAATTGATGAAGACTGCACAATACGCTTTACCTTTTTATTAGCTGTGTCAAACCTACTCCGCTCAGCACAGATGTTCTTTGTTAACAGACCTGTTACAACAATAACAACAACGTGGATAGCTTTCCATCCATGGATAATTTTATTTAACGAAATCAATTTGCCCAAATTTTTGTGCGTCAATCTAGGGTTATCTGTATATTTTGTAACAAGTCAATCTTAGAGCTTATCTGGGATGTAGTTCCTTGATAAATATACGTATGTATGGTGGTGTGTGGTGACCACATAGAAAATTATGCGGTGAATCCGCAAGTACGGAGGTTGTTAAGTAGCAAAACAAAAATAATTAACAATTTTTCTATAAAATACTCCGGAACATCGGAGGCACAATGTTTAGTATTGTTCTTAAAACATGAATTGGTGCTGGTCTGTTATTCTCCTCTCGGTTACGGCGATACAAGGCAGGCGTTATGCAACGAATCAATTGCAGGGAAGAATATATGGACAGCAACAGCAATTGCATCGTCGCCATGGTCATGGTGAGGATTTTTTCGACACCGACAATTGGAATTGGCAATGGCACGAAGAGGATTATCTGGTCACAAATTGGCAGAGAAAATGTTCCAAATATCAACTGGGCAATTCGGTAAAGAGTTTCATTGCCAATGGTGTGGCAGCGGATATGGATAAATTTCCCTATCTGGTGGGTTTGTTGTTGTTCGACTCGCCAAGGATTTTTCAGTGTGGCGGCTCTTTGATATCGACGAAATTTATTCTTACTGCGGGTCATTGTTTGCTGAGGTAAGGGAAATAAATTTTACATATTTTTAAATTTATAAAAAAATTTGGTTTTTTTTTTTTAAAAGAGCTTCCGAGGGACGTGTCTATGTGGGTTCTTATGTCTATGCCAATGCTGCCTCCGCCGAAGCGGTCTACAATGTGACACGCAGTAATTTCATTATCAACGAACGCTATGATGGCCGCCATGGCTTTTTGGATGACATTGCTTTGATAAAATTAAAGGATCCGGTGGCACTGTCGCCCCGCGTAAAAGTAATACCCTTGGCTAGAAATTTCTTCAGCGAAGAGTTTTTACAAAATGAATTGGTGACGGCTGCTGGCTGGGGTCGTACCTCGGATAACAGCACTTCCTTCAATACGAAACTGTACTATGTGGTGACACCTGTTTTGAGTTATGACAAATGTATGTGCTACTATTTGCCGGGATTGGTCAATCGTCGCAAACATTTGTGTGCCGATGGCACGGGAGGACGTGGCGGCTGTGATGGTGATTCTGGAGGACCGTTGGTCTACAAATTTAGAGGAATGGATTATTTGGTTGGTGTCACTTCGTTTGGCAGTGCTGGGGGCTGTGAAATCGGCCATCCCACCGTGTATACCAAGGTGACCAATTATTTGGCTTGGATATACAAGAAGACGGGGATACGAGCTCCATAGTTGGGAGTTTATGAAATATATTTTTAAACAAAATATTGAAGGTGTTGTTTTAATTTTTGGATTTAAAATATTATTCTTCAAATGAGCCATCTTCTCATAAAAAGAGGACCGTCTTTTAATGAATGATTGATATTGTTTTTCCAGAAGCTACACATGTATGGTTTGATTTCTGCTAATCAGGTTCTAACTCCAGTTCCAATAATTCGCCTACCTTTACGGGCTGTAAGCAAAGATCTTTTGGAGTGAGACAGGGCAATTAAAGCCGAGCAGGCATTTCGCACATCTTTATCCATTCGTGCTGATCATGAACTGAGACAACTGCCCTGGTTTTTCTATGTAGCCAACGTTTTTTAGCTGCAAGAACGACAATCATACTGTACTTGTTGTTGTAGCAGTAATATATATTGGGGTTATATGCACTGCTAATCTGGTTCTGCTTCAATGTTTAGGAAGTCCGCTACTCTTATGGGTTGTAGCCAAAGATCCTCCGGAGTGGGTTGGGTATGTTTGATAAGGTAACAAAAGAGGTATCACGTGCCGGGCAGACGATCCGCACCTTTTCATCAATTCACGCCCAGTTCGAATTGATACGGCTACACCATCCTTAACGTAATCGCGCCAAAACTACCCTCGCCGACGTTCTTCAGTTGAAATGTAGTTGGACACTGAGGACGGCTGTACTGTAATTGTTGATAGAATCTGTAACCGCATCATTATGAATGCCACTCAGACCTGCCTGATAGGCTTCTTGCTCTAGAGGCTCTCTCTTATAGCGTTGGACCTCACTCTCTAGATCATGCATGTCCTCTGTAACCGAATCTTTATGAATGCAACTCAACCTGCCTGATATGCTTTTTGCTCTCTCTTTTAGCGTTGGACCTCCCTCTCTAATCAGCAAAATTTTGGCATTGTGTTGCATTCGTATTCGCAGACCACACTGCAGTCGCAAAGCTGACCACATAATGACTTGTCGTTTTAAAAGAGGTTACCCGAGTGGTGTCGGTTAGCGTCTTGATGAACTTGTTCTTGCGGCTCGGCTCGGACGACTTGAACGTCCTGTCGAATGTGACCCTTAGGATCTTAGTGTAGTTCGTGATCGGAATTTTATTTCCCTGCATTCATTTAGTTGTGTTCTCACCTCCGCAGATCATTTGGCAATGAGGGTGACGTTGATTTAGTGACGGAAATTTTCATATTCCTCGCGTGAACGTAGACGCCAAGCTCTGCGATGTAGGTTAGGTTAGAGTTACAAACGAGATTTTAATTACCTCACTCGGAGACCTTTCGGTCCACGGTGATCATCCAGCGTTAAAAAAAAGAAAGGAAGAGTTAAGAAGGATTGAGGGTGATAACTCCGGCGCCAAAGCCAGTAAAGCCTTTTTGAGAGATTATAGACCGTAACATCAGAAAAAATGTAATGCCGAATATTATCGCGAAAATATTCTGGAGGGTGTATTTAGACCTTGGGCACGCAAACATTTTGGCCGCAGACCTTGGACATTCCAACAGGACTCAGCAGCATCGCACTCAGCACGCGCCACTGAAGAATGGCCACCAAAATCTCCGGATACCAATCCGTTGGACTATTGTGCCCGGAGTATTTTGGAAAGCAAGGTTGGCACTAAAAAATACCAAAGTGTCGATCAACGATCAACACAAATATATTGAAGTTCTCCTTCTCATTGAAAGGGTCTTTTCATCTACAATAAGACCGCGTGTTTTTCTCAAGGAATACGAGTAGGTCACACAGAAAGCCAAAAAGTCAGCTTCCTATAGAAGACCAGTAGACCCTCCTACAAAAGACTATTGTGTCTTTTCATATTCCCCTTAATGGAGGATAGGTCTTCTATTCATTGAAAGCCAGAAAGCCAAGCCATGGAAGACTAGCATGTTTTCTTATAGAATCCAAACGGGTTTTACCCGTAGAAGACTATTGGACCTTTTCATATATAGGAGACTAATGGATCGTTTTATAATGAAGGACTGATAAATTGTTTTGTAGAGGACCAATTGGGACTCCTTAGAGAAATCCAATAGCTTCTCTTCAAAGAGAATACAATGAGTTCTTCCCATGGAATAAAGGCCTTCTTTTAATCGAGCACCGAGGGTTTCTTTATCATACTGCCTCATTTCTCAGCCCCACTGAGACCCCATTCGCCTTTAGACCCACCAAATAAATTAGAACCAAAGAATTTTTTTATAATACTTTTATTGATTTTTTTTTAAATTTTTATAATTTTTTTTAAAAAAAGAATTTCGAGTGAATTAAAATTTATTATTCGTTTCGAAGAAAGATAGATAGCACAGAGCTGGTGGCAGTTGTCGAAAGCAAAAGGATTGAATTCAAAATACATATGCGTGTATGTATGTATATAACTAGTTTGAGAGAGGGGATCTCCCTTAGAGAGAGACTTGGTGTTGTTGGTATGCAATAAAAAAAGAGTAGTGTTGTGTTTTTTTGTTGTTTTTTTTATATGTTTCTTTCTTTTCTTGGTTTTTTGTTTTTCTTTTTAATAAATTCTAAAGTCTATTTTGTTTTGTTTATAAAATAAAAAAAAAATTAAAACAAAAAAAAATTAAAATTAAAAAAAATGCGCTCTCCTGTTTCCAAACTTTAACTTTATAGACGAATGCCAGGATTGGTGGCAGCCACATAACGCAACAGCTCATCGTTGTCCTCGCAAATGAAGGGCTTCTCGTGATAGCAGGCCACATCGTGCCATGCAATGCCATCGTTGTAGACATTGTTCAAAACGGACAAACACTGTTCCTTGGTCTGGTTGATGTCATATTCGGCATTGTCGGGCTGAGGACGCTTCTTGTGACCAGTCTGGGACCAGGGATTGTAACCCCAACCTTGAGGAATGCGGTTGGTGGCTTGGATCTTCTCACGGGTTGCGGACCAGAACCAACCATAAATGTTCTTAGGTTCCAAGTCGGGACGGTTTTCACAGCCATTGAAATCGCAAATACGGCCAGCGGTCCAGATGTAGGGCACATCGTTTTGTTGGATCACACGGAAGATCAAGTTGTTCTTTTCCTGGGTCTCCAAGGCAACCAAGTCCATGCAGTATTCACGGCAAATGTTGCGACCATCCAACCAATCGACTTTCTTGTTGGCCAAGGCTGGGACGTGGGTGCTCAAGAACATGTTGCGGCCGCGGTACGAGAATTCCTTGGGACCTGAAATGCAGGAAGGGAAAAAAATCAGGGTGAGTTTGGCATTTTTTATTTTTTAATTTTGATTTAAAGTAAATAAATGAATAAAAAATGAAAATAAAATAAAAAAATTAGTGAAAAATTAAAAACCCCTTAAAAAATTAAAAACAAAAAAATCTATTTTTTGGAAATAAATAAAAAACAATCTAAAAAAATCAATTCGAAAATAAAAAAAATAATAAAAATTTACATAAAATCTAAAAAAATCAATTCGAAAATTGAAAAAAAAATAAAAAATTAAAAATCCAAAAATAATAAAAATTTACATAAAATCTAAAAAAATCAATTCGAAAATTGAAAAAAAAAATAAAAAATTAAAAATCCAATTCGAAAACTAATACAAAAAAATTGAAATACAAATAATAAAAAAAAAAAAAAAATAAAAAATCAATTTTGAAAATTTAAAAAAATATTTTTGTTCAGAAAATGTTTGGTGGAAAATTCCCAAAAAATTATATTTTCCCAACCAAAAAAAAAAAAAAAATAATAATAATAAAAATTAAAAAAAGAAAATTTATTTTAAAAATAAAAAAATAAAAATCTAATTCGAAAACTATTACAAAAAAAAAGATGAAAAATCAATTCTAAAATTTTAAAAAATATTTTTTAAATTTTAAAATTTATTTTTTTGGTGGAAAATTCCCCAAAAAGTATATTTTTCCCAACCAAAAAAATAATAAAAATTAAAAAAAGAAAATTTATTTTAAAAATAAAAAAATAAAAATTCTAATTCGAAAACTATTACAAAAAAAAAAAGATTAAAAATCAATTGTGAAATTTTAAAAAATACTTTTGTTTAAAAAATTTTTGACGAAAATTTCGAAAAATATATATTTTTATGTAACCCAAACCAAAAAAAATAAATAAATAAATCAAAAAAAAAAAAAATATTTAAAATTAAATTTTTAAATTAAAACAAAAAGATAAGAAATTCTATTAAAAAAAAACAAATATATATTTTTAATGTTCATAATTGAATTTTTTGTTTCAATTTTTTAGTACTTTTTTGTGGTTTTAATTTTTACATTAACTTTTTATTTATTTATTTACTTTTTTTTTGATATTTTTGGTTTGGTTTACATAAAAAATATTCTTCCTTTGGAAATTTTCCACCCAAAAAATTCTTAACAAAAATATTTTTTAAAGTTTTAGAATTGATTTTTTATTTTATTTTTTCTTTAATTTGTTTTCGAATTTAATTTTTTTTTATTTTTAAAATTAATATTTTAATTTACGAATTATATTTAAAAAAATATATTTTTTTGTTAATTTTGGGTGGAAAATTCCCAAAAAAAAAAAGATTTTTTTATCTAACCCAAACCCCATTTTTGTCATCATCAATTTTCAAATATTATTTTCACTTTTTCTATGGCGCAAATATTATTAATGCTTGAATAATCATTTCGAGCTACGATTTGAAGGCTCTTTGTGTCTGGCTATTAAGGCTATGATGCCAATTTCAATTTCATTCATGACTTGACAATTTCAAGTAACCTCAAAAGATGTATTGAAGATAGTTTTGTTGTTGTTGTTGCTGTGAAAAGCACAACAAAGAAGAAAAACAACAACAACAAGAAAATTGTGCTGATGATGATGATAACTTGCGCAACATCACCAACATTATTATTGCTGGTGGTGGTAGCGACAGCATCATTATCAAAAAACAACAACAAAAAAACCACAACGTAAGTGTTGGCCCATTAGATCCGTTGGGGGAAAAAGCCACAATTCGCCATGGTGATGCACCTATCGTCGTAATGATTATTTCATACTTGGATGGTTTATAGGTCTTTACGAACCAAGAAAAAAACGAACAAAAAACACAAATGAAGTTAATAATTTTGCACTTCAAAAAATAGAGGTAGATGGATTGAAAACAAAAGCCAAAGGCGGTTCAGAATTGTTTTGTTTTTTTTTTTTTCGTATTCTTCTTTTGTTTTCCAAAAGACCAACAACCTTTTTCCGTTTTGCAAATTTACACAATGTTTGCCAATATTTGAACAGTAAGACGAGAAGTAGAAAAAACAACAACAGCAAAACCAACAAAAGTAAACAGCCAACAAACTTGTTTTTACAGTTGGCCAACAGCAGCATCAATTTCATTAAATCATTTGCAATACCACACGACTGCACATCTCAGTTAACACAATATCAGCAATGAGACACATGCATACAGACAGTACATATCTACGTTCGTCCGTCCAGGTTCCGTCACGTCACCTATAATTAAGCTCAACAATACTTAACATATTTAACAACAACACAAATACCATGACAAATTGTTAAACATGCCATAGAGCATTGTTGCCCACCGAAAATAAACCCAGTATTAATTGATTGAGGAAATATTTTTTTTATATTAATTAGGTCGAAAGTATTATAAAAATAACAAATTGAATAATATAAAAAATAAACAAAAAAGATGTAAAAATTGACCATTTATTCTGGTCGAAATATCCTAAAGTGGCAACTCAGATCATATATTATTTCATTGTTATTAAAAAATTATAAATGAAAAATATTTATCAAAATTAAAAAAGTAACTATTGTTTTTTGGTCGAAACATCCCAAAGTGGCAACCCAACAATTTATAACAATATTATTGAAAAATTTATAATTAAAGAAAATTTTATAAAAATTAAAAAAATATACATAAAATAATTGGCTCAAGAATTTTCAGTCGAAATATAACAAAATGGCAACCCCAACAATTTAAACACCAAATTTCACAATAAATTTATTAAATTTTTCCAAATTGTCTCAATTTTTTTTGGTCAAAAAATGGTTTCGGACAATAAAAAATTAAAATTGCCCAATTTATTTTTGGTCGTAATATTCCAAAATGGCAACCCAACAGTTTGTAATTGTATAATGTCAATAATAATAACATTCAAAAAATTTTTTTGTTTTAATTTAAAATTATTTCCAAATTGTTCCTTTTTTTGGTCGAAAAAGGCACAAGTGGCAACATGGAAAAAAATAATAGATATTAACATGAAAATCAGTGACATTAGAAATTGTCCTGCGATTTTTAGACAAAATAATAAAAATAAAAAATATTTAAAAATTACCAAGTTATATTTGGTCGAAATATTCCAAAGTGGCAACCCCAACTATTTGCAATTTCATTATTATTATTTGGGAATTTTTAATTATTTTTTTTTTTAATTTTTATAAATTTTTTTCTATTATAATTGTTAATAGAAAAAAATGTATAAAAATTAAAAAAAAAATAATTAAAAGTTCCCAAATTTTTTGGTCGTAACATCCCAAAATGGCAACCCCAACAGTTTGTAGTTTTATAATCTCAATAAAAATAACAACATTCATAACAATTTTTTCAATTTTAAATTATTTCCAAATTTTCCCATATTTTTTGGTCGAAATTGGCCTGAGTGGCAACAATATTACCTGAAAATCAGTGATATTAGAAATTGCCAAGTGATTTTTAGACAAAATAATAAAAATAAAAAATAATGAAAATTGACAAAATTATATTTTGTCGAAATATCCCAAAGTGGCAACCCCAACAATTTTTAATTTCATTATTATTAAATAAATTATAATTGAAAAAAAATAAAACAATAAATAAAATTTTTCCATTTTTTCTTTTGTTCGAATTGTTCCAAAATGGCAACCTTTTATCATTTTAAAAATAATCATAAAACATTTTTTTCAATTTTAACAAAATTTTTCAATTATTTTTGGTCTAAATGACCCAAAATGGTAATTTGAACTAAATATAATAACGAAAAAATCGGGAACACTAATTGTTTTGTATTGTCATTATATGGCAACCCTAACAAATATTTACCTACAACCAGAATTATAGGCATTGTGTCATTGTTTAAATATGTGTCATTACTCTCTGTAACACAGTAATGTACGTTGCAATACTTATGGTCCATAAGTTATGGACCATAATTAGTGAGTAATACAGAGAAAGAGAGAGAGAGAAATTAAAGAGACCCCATTCAATAGGTCAGACACAAACAGCAACTAGTTGCATATCAAGGAAAAGTTTGTTTACAAAATGTAAGGAAGGAAAAAATTGGAGGGAATGGGATTAGATTAAAGGAGAGCTCCAATGGGATATTAAGAGAAAAGGAAAGTTCATTGGTGAGAGAGAAGCTTTGGGTATTTCGGAAAGTAAGGAAGTAATGTAAATTGTGAAACAGAGAGAGAGAGTTAGTTAGAGTTTCTGTGTCAACTAATACTTCTATTAATGCATTCCAAAAACGTCATTGCAAACTTTTGTTATCTCTTTTTTCTTTTCATTCAATCCCTCACTCACTGTTTGTTGTCGTTGCCATCCATCCTAATAATGTCGTTTGTAATTATGACTTTACTAAACTCATAATTTATTTATGAATAGAAAATGGGTAAGATGAGAAGGGAGAGAGGGAGGGTATGGCAGACTGGCAGTCAAAGCACACACTTCCAAACAGCTCAGTTACCTATTAACCTGATTTTTGGAATGTTGAGCGTTTATTTTTGTTTTCATCTCACAAATAATAAAAATAAACATTGTTAATATTTACGATGCCACATAACAATCATCATCATCGCCATTCGTCGCCGTCATCGGCTTAGTTTGTTAAATGAATGTTAACAGGTCATTGGGATGCACATATTTTTCGTCTGTTTCATTTTGGAGTCATGATCTTTGGTGAGTTTTTATATAAGTGTGTGTGTGTGCGTGCCTTTTTTCAAATGACTGCACCTAACATAATTTTGTATTTCTTTATTTCGACGGCGGAATGCTATTTTATTTGATTATTATAGTTTTTTTTTTTTTTTTTTTTTTTGAAGGGGGAAATTTAATCATTTTTATATTTAAATTTATTGTAATTAGTTTGAACTTGCCTGCGGTTCAAAAAAAAAATTGGGTCAAGGTAAAAGGTTATCTTGTGCATTTTAATTGATTTTTATGGGAAGTTTGTTATAAAAATAAAGATAACTAA